TTTTGACACTTCTGTGAAGTGTTAAAGCAAACAAATAAACAAACAAGCAAATAACAAATCTTGGGGGTTGTTGTGAAGTCCCTTAACAGAAATACCTCAAGGTTTAAATGTGCCGAGCAGGCAATCTGATTTTCATGTAAATAAGTTGCATACATTTTGAAGTGACAATATTTAATATTTCGTTTCCATTTTCCTTCGATGTTTTGTTAATGCAAAAAAAAATTATTGTGCTTAGGCTGGTTTTTGTTTGTATTCATCAAAATGAGCATATATTAGCATTTATAAATGCTCAATGAATGGRTGCCCTAGCTCTGAAATCTAATTTAATATGCATGAGAATAGAGGATAAGCTTTATCAGTATGCACAAGTAAAATCTTTATGAAAACATATGCAGTAAAATCATATTAAAACATTTTTTAATATTTTAATATTGAGATATTGCACTTCAGCTACTGCCTTGTGGAATACTAGATTGTATTAATTACTGAGTCCAAGAAAAGGAGATGTTGGCTCTGAAATCTTGGGCCAGTGAGACTGGGAAAATCTGGGCTGTGAGAGTACTGACCTGTGAGAGAAATCGAGCAAGACTTCACAGAGTGTTTTGTGAATAAGTGACATTTGGAAGCTTCACCTTTTGAAAAAAAAGTGATGAYTCTTTGATGTTTCAAATGCAGAGTAAAATAACTTCTTTAAAGTCAGTGAGATAAGCACAGCTTTATTCCAGAAGATGTCTCATAATTTGTATGTCTGTGTTTATTTAGTCTGTCACAGTCAATTTTTTTTTTAAATATCCTTTGAGAAACACTTTTAAATTTTTTTTCCTTCATTCTGTATAGAACTGGGAAAAAAATCTTCTCTTCCCTAAAGTTATTTCCAAAGTGCAGCACGTGTAASAATTTTCTCTCACATGCAGGAGTGCTGTGCTCTGCCCTTGCTGTGGAATTGCTGCTTTGGAGGTCATCGATGTGCTCAGCGTGTGATAGAACCATAATTCTTCACAAAGTGGTGCCCAAGCCATTTGCAGTGTGTGGAGAGAAAGAACTGCAGTTTTGAGTGTTGTACTGGGGCATGAAGCAGGAATTTCAGAGTTTAGATACTTTTGAGGAAAAAAAAAAGTGGAAAAAGAATGGGAAACAATATAATGTCTTATTTTACACCAATTCAGTGCTCTGGAGGTGAAAACCTTGCCGACCTAGCACAATTTACAAGCCTACTTCAGATTCCAGAGCTGGAAAGTGCCAGGTGCTGCCAAAAAATATATGCTTTGGCAAGAGAAATGCTTTGCTGAAGAGAAATTCACTGTTGTGAGGATAACCAGGTTGATCAGGGCTTAGGACAAGATAATGAGGAGCCAGCAGGTGATGGTCACATTTGAATATTGCCCCTCACAGTGCACTGAGGAGGGCACAGACAGCCATCCATAATGAAAATACATCCTCTACCCTTTTTGGATGTGCTCTCACAGGAAATAATTGCTGCCCACCCTTGTGTGGGGTGGCAGTGGGAACAGTCATGACAGAACCTTTCACACCCTTCTTACCCCAAGCCAATAATTTGGCATTTTATTTGGATTGCTAAACCCATAACAATGAAACCCCCCATAGCTGGGTGAAATTGCAGCATCACTGAAGTCTCTGGTAAATCTTTGAGTGCAGTCAGGATTGTGCCCTGATGAATCAAATGCTACAAATTAGTTATTTATCACCTGATCCAAGGTCTACTGAAACCACTGGAAAGATTTCCACTGTCCTAAGCAGGCTTTTCAACATGCTGGTTTGGAACATTTGCTTTTTTTTTTTTTTTTTNTTTTTTTTTTTTTTTTCCAGCCTTGCAGGTCAGCCAGTAACTATTGTCTCAGTGGCATCTGAAGAGGTTGCAGGGAAGGGATGGGATGAGATTCCTTGGAGGAGGTGAGRAGGAGAATGGCTGGTGTGTGGTTAMAGCCACTGACCACACAACAAGCAGCAATGGCTTTGCACTTTGCAATCAGAAATGTTGGCTCTGGAGCTCCTCTKTCTCAGCTGCACTCCGAGAAACCARAGCAAAAGGCAAATGACAGACATGATGCTCCTGCTCTTGCATTTTGGCACCGTGGTTAGAGGCAGGAGAGGGGAGTGGCTGCTCCAAACCCCATCTGATGCCTTTCCCGTTGTCCAGGAGTGCACAAATTGGCACACATTTGAATTTTAATTTCTGTATATACAGAATAGTCCCTCCAGGAGGATAAGAAATGAGCACAGGCCGATGTCACCARCCATGAAGGCAGAACATTTTCATTCCCTCTTTAGCAACAAGCACTGGCTGGGGGCAGCTGGACACGAGCCAGCAGTGGCCCAGGTGGCCAAGAGGGCCCAGGGCACCCTGGGCTCTGTCAGCAATGCCGTGGCCAGCAGGACAGGGCCAGTGATGGCCCCTCTGCTCTTGAGGCCACACCTCAAACCCTGTGCTCATTTTGGGGTCCCTCATTGCCAGGGAGACATTGAGGAGGTGGAACATTCCAGAGAAGGGTCTGGAGCAGCTGAGGGAGCTGGGGATGTTCACCTGGAGAAAAGGAGGCTCAGGAGGGACCTGATCATTCTCTACAAACCCTGAAATGAGGTGGTGSTGAGATGAGTGTTGGTTGGCTTTCMCTTCTTCCAAGTAAAAAGTGATGGGAAAAGGGGAAAGGAACGGCCTCAAGCAGTGCCAGGGGAGATTCACGTTGGATATCAGGAATAATTTCCTCACTGAAAGSGTGGCCAAGCATCAGAACAGGCTGGTCAGAGSAGTCACCATCCCTGGGAGTGCTCCAAAAACACTTTGTGAAACGGTTCAGTGGGCAAGGTGCTGTTCAAAGGTTGGGCTCAAGGATCTTGAGGGTCTTTTCTRACCTTGATGATCCTGTAAGGGTGGGAACAGAAGAGAARGCAGGAGGGGAAAGGAAGGGAAGGCCAGGAAGGGCTGGCTCTCTGCTCAGTGACACCGACTGTGCYATTGTCTGCACCATTAACTTTTGTRGGTTTGCTCTCATTTTCTCTAAGCTCGGTCCAGTAAAGCCTCATCTCATTGCCAAGGGCTTTGCCAGTGGAAAATGTCCAACTTTTCACAGTGATGCAGCACCAGAGCATAACSAATAAACAAAATTCAGTTTTGTATCTCTGAAGTATTGCCTGAATCTTCTTTAGACTTGCACTTCTTGAACCTTTCTGTACAAGTCAGAATGACATTAATTACTTCAAAAATTACTTCAAGCATGGTRAGATGACTTCATGCTTTGGGGAAAGTCCAGCGTGTAGTTTTCATAGGGCCAACACTTCAGATGTGAATCATTTCCCAGAAAAATTGGGTTTTATTGTCTGCTACTTTTGCCATATTGGGATGCTTTTACTTGTGAAGATTGACTTGCAAGATTCCTGATCAGAAAGCACAAATTAACCACTGCATCCAGAAGGGAAATTAAGACAGAAAGATTAAGAGACAGATTATTTTATCTTCTCTGATGTTAAACAGTACCCTATCTTAAATTACAAGAGCTCTGTGCAGAGAAAGGTAGCWCTTAATTTGAGTAATATTTATGGAATCGAACTATCAATTATTTGCACAGGAGAAGGCTGTGTTGGTGCCAGGAACTGAGCCTACAKCAACATAAACACCAGGCCAATGTTTTAATTATATACCACTCTTTCTTTAAGCTTATTTTTGAGTCATTAGGGCGCATAAAAAAATCTGATCTTGAAATGAACCATTCATTGGAGGTCATGATGCTCCTGTTAAATTTGTCAAAGGAGATAAAAGAAAAGTGAAACTTTCCAGAGGAGTGCACAGTCATTAGGGAGTGAGGATGAGGTCATTGGGATGGGAAAGGGACAGGGAATTGTGGCTGSAAATAAAACCAGAGCTAAACCTAAAGCTAAACCTAAAATGCAGTTCTGTTTGATTCACCTTTTCACTCACACTGGTTTTTCACCAGTTGTAGCTCCACTCTTTAGTGATTTAATACTGCAGTAGGTACCAGGAGAATCAATTCCAGTGACAGGARCATTGGGAAAAAGGAGTCAGTGCTGAATAACAAATAAAACTTCTCTTGCTTTCCTCGTCCTTCCAGCTCATCTTGTTATTGTTGAAGATTTCATGGGGATTGTGAGGGAACACTGGTATAGTGCAGGGAGAAATTAGTTCCAGTGCAACACCTTAAACAGCAAAACTACAGATCCTCCAGGATCCTTGCAAATGGAAGTGCTTGTAGGCAGGAAAGCTCTTTTAGGGAATAAATAGGATGTAATCCTTCTTTTATGGGGCTGACAGTGCCCTCTGCAGTCATGGTTTTTAACCATGGAATGGTTTTTAACAGGAAATGCAGTTTCTGACAAGATTTTTTTTTCAGTTCTCACTTGCTAACTTTCAGTGGCCTTTTCAGGGAAGTTCAAAGGTTTTAAAAGTTCATTTCCTTTAAAAGAAAAGTTTTTCTAAGTAACCAGAATTATTCCTTTCYCTCATTATTTCCTTTCCAACTTGTTTGATTAATGATTGAAACCTTTGCTTCAGTTAAAGATGTTTTTCAATGACTTCTCTTATTTTGCAATCCTGCTGTCCTTTTGTTTCATTAGACTTTTTCCCTGGGTCATATGGGAATACTCTAAACTTTAAAAGCCCCATGGCAATGCTAAAGTTGATCTGGCCTTTAAATTTTAGGTACTCACTGACTTTTTTTTGAGCCACAACAGCTACAATTATTTAAGCAAGTCAATCCAGCTCAGCAGAAAAGCAGTAGGATGAAGAAATATTCTTACAATGGTGGATAACTTTTCATTTTTCTTGTGGGTGCCATAATGTGAAAGCTTAATGGTGACTTTGTAAATCCTAATTGTTTGATGCACTTTGCAAAATCAGTCTTCCCAATTGTGGGCTCAGGTTCTATGGTGGTTATTACAAAAAAACAAAAAAACAAAAACAAAAAAAAAAAAACAAAACCCAAAGAATTGTGGCAAAAATCCTTGTCTTAGGCATCATTGGCCGGTGCAGGGCTTACATAGTATCAGATCAAATGAGACAGGAGAAAYAAATAATTCCTATAAAATTTCTACAGAATCTCTTTTATTCCCCTGTTGGCTGTTAGAAATAACATCAAATTTTAATTCTCAGGTGTCCAACACCTATTGTTCATTTTTTATCCCTTTAAGTGCTAATAGATCTCAAAACCTGGAGGACTTTGAGGAAATCTTGAGATCGTCTGAAAGCATGGATTCTGAGTTCTGTCTGGACATCAGCACCAGCACGAGTATCTCTGATGTGAGGCTTTAGATATTTTGTTCTGTAGTCACAAGTTACTTAGCTGTGTCTGAAATTAAGAATCCAGCATTTAAATTCAGAGACAAGATGTATAAAGAAAATTAAGTTCAGGCATACCCTGTTGGTACCCAGTCTGACTTAATGAGATCATAAATATTTTCAAATAACTTTTCTAAAGTAGTTAATCGTAAATCCTACAATTAAACCTGGTATTGATAYACATAAATATCAAACAGGATAGAACACAATGCTTCCACACAGGAAAACCACCTAAACACCAAATTCCTTGTAATTTTYCATCTTTGCTTCTCCTATCTGATTTGATAAAACTGAAGGAGTGGGTGAATGTCCTGGTGAGGTTAAGTTATTATCAGGATTTTAGATGTGCAGTTGAAAAGTTTTTTGYTTAACAGCACATCCAAATTAACTTAATTATCCACTCAAATTKTATTGAAAAAAATGATAAAATGATACTTACAACCTCCTGCACTGTATTTATACTGTTTTAGTGTGGATATAGATGCCAACAGCACAATATTTCTTTCTCTTAGGTCTTCTGTAGCAAAACCTTTTTGAGTTCTTTCCATCAAGAGTAATTTTTTGGATTAAATWTGACCATTGCTCTCACTGAAACTGTGGGCAAAATGTATCCCGAATTAAATCGAATTTTTTGTGGTTTGGGAAAGCTGKATTAATTTTTTCCCTTGTTTTTTTCTTCTAAATTCCTCTAAACTCCTCGTTGCTTGCCAGAAGAGGAGGTGCCAAAATAACCCAAGGAGGCTGTGCAGCCTCTGCAGAAGTGAGAAGTTCAGCAGTTTGGTGAGAGCGGCTGTTCGCTCCTTTTCCCCATTTGTGAAATTCAGAAAAGTTTCGGGTCTGCATCCAGGATAAAACCCTAAATGGAAGCACAATGAAGTCACTTTCCCAATTCTGCTTGTCTGAAATGGGTCTGAGTTTTCATTTGTTTCTAAATGAGTACCTAAACTGCATCTCTTGKGATTTGGCTTAATTATTTTCAATTTCTCATCATCTGTTAGTTGCTTGTGCCTCCCATGTATCCCTTCCTGACTTCTTCTGACACCACTCTATAACTTTCCTAATGAATTTCCTGAACCCATTCCAGCATTCTAGGTATTCTTTKTTTATCCCTCCAGCAGTCAGACAGCAGGGCATTAAACATCTTGTTATCAATTTCAACTCCAGAGTTGTTTTGGCTTTCCATTCAGCGCCGTAAAACTGCTTTGCAATCAACTCTAAAGACAAAACCCACAAAAAAGCAAACCATTGCATATGGYTTTCTCTGTGCAACTTCAGAGCTTTAAACCAGATAAATTCAATGTATGTCTCATTTAGACTTGGTGACAATAAAATAAACATCCTTGCTATGTTTATTTCTAATCTTAGTGAGTGCAAAGCATAAACCAAAAGGTTTTTATGCAGAAATAGCTGCAGATTATGGACCTGTGTGGGACTGAATGTTTTTCTTTATGTGTCTGTCTCCACTTGCAGGAACCACAGAGGCACAAACTGCATTTCCAATGGCTTCTCATCAACTGTATATATTATATATTATGTGAATATTACATTAATTATGAGCTGTACTGAAATACATAGGGTTGGTTTTTTTGGTTTTGGTTTTTTTTTTTTTTCTGTATTATATGAATTAGAGTGATAGAGCTGTTGTAATGAAGCTCTACCACTTGCAAAAACATGCAAGCACTGAATTTCCTAGATTTGGTTATGTTACAGTGCAAACTGGCTATTTTTCCAGAATATTTGAATGATTCTGTGATAATTGATATAAATTATCCTATATTGGTTTAATCCTTTAATGAAACCTTATGTTTAAAAAAGGGCATTCKGTCCTTTAAATGGTTTGTATCTTAACGTCAAGGCCAAAAATTTTAACAAATAAACAGAATATTTATCTGACAAGGGCTGCAGTTCATTTCTACATTATTCTCAAGTTTTGAGATCCTTTTTTCAATTAAGACCTTCTTTATGGTCAGTCATATATTAGCTCTGAAATCACAATATGACATAAATTTATATATATATATATAATAAACAGATATTTGTTTGTTAATTTGTTGGTTTGACTTCAAGATTGAGGCTTTATAATTGCTGAATCTCCTAGAAATGTTACCTTGGATGTTTCCAAAAATGATAGTTTAAGATTTTTGAGGACTATTGAAAATCATCTTGGCTTGTCTTTCTCCTTTGGAGAGGCTGAGTTGATTTAATTTCAGTAGTGGGGACTGGTGTTTTTACAGGTTGAAGGAAATGCTTGTGCTAACTGTGTGTTGTGGYAATTTTTCCTGTCAGGATTTGGATCTTGGAGTACATCAGCTCAGACAAATTAAAAAGGAAAATTAGAAGAATTGAATGGAATTAGAATGGAAATTAGAATGGGAAATTAGAAGAAAGCTTAACTGTTGGGAGAAGGCACCCCCGTGTGACAACGACTCCTGACCTTTTTGCAGACTAGAATTTCAGATCATTTTGGCCTGTAAATACCACTCTGGAATTTGAAAATTAAGTTGGTGGAGGAGATGTGTAAATCAGGAAGCAAAACACTTCTCAAAYATCTGTCCTGTTCCCTGTCCTCTCTCTCCTTTTTCACAACATCAATAGTTTTCTTAATTGCCTGTGCAGAAATCTCTTAGTATTAATCAGACTGGGCTTTCTTAATGTTTAATTTAAATTAACTATTATGGCAGAAAAACATGAAATTTACTGAAAAAACCTGTTCTACAGTTGAGTAACCTTTCGATTTTCTAAAATAACTGAATTGGCTTCAGCGGGGGAGGCTGTGTAGTAAACAGTGCCCATTCAAGCAGCAATATCGGAAACTGTTCCCAAGGCACTGAGTTATGYTGGTATTTTAAAACATTGCTACTGTTTTCCACAGCTTCAGCTCTCCCCTGCTCTTTGTCAGCTTTGGGAAATGTCACAGGAGTGACAGCTGCTGGAGTGACGGAAAGACAGAGGAGAAGAAGTGCTGAAAAAAGACAAAGAGCAGAGGAAAAAGCGCTGAAAAAAACAAAAAAAACAGGCTTGGATTCCGTCCCCATGCTTTAGGGAGAAAAGATGCCAGAAATAAAGGAAACATTGCATGGCTTTTAACGTGCTCCATCCTGTGTGAAAGGCTTGCATCTAAACATCCCTGCAGAATATTTGTCAGGACTTTTTGCCACTCTCCAATAACACAGAGACGAGAGGGAGATTATCTTTCTCCTACTCCAGATGACGTCACTGCACCGCTAAGCAGGACTTAGGAAAGGTTTATGTTCTTAGCACTAGATTTAAAGAATGTAATGCTCCTTTTAATAYAGTAATTTCTGGCTCTATTAATTTTTCAATGTTTATCTTGCGAGATCGTTGGGAAATTCGGAGAAGGCTGGTGTGGTTTGAGAGGAAAAGAGAGGGGTGAGCTAAGGATAAAGAAGCTCTCTGCTGGAGAGTTCCTATACCACTGTATCACATCTGGAAAGGACCCACGAGGTCTTTCACAGTGATATGCTGCAAAATTGCTAAAAATTGCAGTATTCAAAATATTGTTATTTAAAAAATTCAAAATTCAAAATATTGTTAAATTTTTAGTGTTGAAGTTGGTAGTAGTCATTGAGCGGTTGATTTGCTTCCTAATAGAACAGACATTTTAAATTTATTATTTCACATTTAAGACTTTCACATACTGGATCAAGAGAAAGTATCAGCGACAGGGCACTTGTTCTTTCCTTTTAATCAAAAGAAAACAGATATTGTTGTTCTGTGTCCTGCATCYTTCTCAGATTCATTTTGACTCATTTCCTTGCAGAAATTGCTGAAACCTCTCTAGAGTTCTTGATGGACCATTCATTCATTATTGTCTCGTTGCTCTGGCACAATTCTTTTAAGTTTTATTTAGTGGGTGYAGAAGGAGAAAGATGAAGAGAGCTTTTCTGGAGGGGCATCTGCTGTAGCTCAAACTGGAATCAGCAAGGGGCTGCCCAATCCCTAAAGAACAATTCATCCTGATTTATTGCACAAAGTGCATTGAAGAGTTTGAGAATTAAATACTTCTGCAAAAGCAAACTMAATATCCTTGCAACACTATCATCAACTGAGCAGCAGAACACAAAGTTTGGTAATTATACATAAAAATTCTTATTGTTTGGCACAGTAATATTGCCAGCACTAATTGCTGGAGCAGGTAATCAGACTGTTGGATTAATCTTCAGATTGCCTGACRCTTTCTAACGTTAATCTCTGCCTTGATGCTGTTATAACTCAACCAAACCGTAACTGTTTGGGTTTCAGGCTTAGTGAATTTTGCATATTCTACGTGTTCTTCAGGTGTTTTGTTTTCTGCTTGTAGAGGGGTTGGAAAGAGAAAGGTGCAGCTAAAACCACTGATTAATTTCTGACACTGGGATTAGAAGTGATATGGTTTTGCCCCTGTTAAAACATAATCCTCTCTTCCCTGAAGTGTRGGCGTGTTTTATCGCATAACCTTTGTGCTTCCACCATGTGCAGGTAGATTTTGGAGGAAAGGCAAAGAGGAATCATGGTTTGGGTTGGAGGGGATCTTAAAGATCACCCAGTTCCAAGCCCCCTGGAAATTACTTTGATTCAGATGTTTTCCTTGTGATGATTTCAAGGATCTGTTATCTCTCCACTCCCCTGCAGTTCAGAGTGGTTGCCATCATTTTTCACTGCTGCCATGAGTGACCCTGTTGTCTGATATGGACATTTCCCCATCTGAACGTTGCTGTGAGCTTTCTCACAGAAACATTTATATTTTTTTTTCTGGGAATCTGCTGATATTGAAGTCAAACGAGGTGTGGCTGCTTTGTGATCAGGTGGGTCGGTGGGGGCGTTTCTGTAGAAATGCTTGAAAATGTGAATTAAGCAGGATAAAAATCGATATTTATGTATCTGTCCCCTGCCATGCAATAGCTGCTCCACGGGGCWGTCACTGCCCAGCCCAGACCTGGCAAGGAAAATGTGACAAGGTTGCATGTGCTGCTGGTTTGAGAGAGGAGAGCTGCCCTTGAAACCGGAATCGTTCAAACACGATTCACCCCTTTGAGAGGAGCCAAAGTCCTGGTTCAGGTAAGGTAGCTGCCAAACACACAACTTTGTTAGCAACTTTTAAAGGCTCCTCTGTCTYAAATGATGTTTTCTTCTGATTCATCATTTTCACCTCTTCCTGGATGGAGTTTTTCTGCCTTTCTTGTAACACCTTTCTCTTGCTGCTAATTCTCACCTTCTCGCTCGTGTGCAATCCTGCTGTATAGGGAATGYTTTAAAAAGAAATATACTACAGTATTGACTCTTTTAAATTCATGACTGGCATCTCAAAGCTCAGACTAAGACTATTTTTCCCTGTTGTTTCTTCATTAAGAACACTGGAAACTTTTGACCAGAGTTTCTATCAAATTTGAAAGAGCACARATTTCCTCAACTGATTTTTCCAAGTCAAAATTACTTAGCAGTTCTGAAAAAAATAATGCTTTCACAGCTCATCAGTGCAGAATTGACCCAGAAGTGACAGATACCCGACCTSCAGGGAAGTCACTGACTGCGGGAAATTAAACTCAGGGGAATATTGATAGAAACGGGGTGAGGAGAAGAGCATGCGAGGCAAGTGCGCTCTTCTCTGAGGTAATTCTTCTGACTTATTGGCAGAACGTTGTGGAAAATAAAAGAAATTGCTTACTAGGCTCTCCCACTTTATTGAGAGGATGCAAAGGAAGTGTGAAAAGTGGAATGTGTGGGGAATTAGAGTGAGAGCGCAGTGTTTTGCTGCTGGCAGATGTGTGCTAGGCTTCACCATTTCACTGGGGTGGTACAATTCAGTTGTTATGACACATCCAGGAAGAAAAACAGAAAACACGAGCTGGAGGCTTG